GTCATTTGCAGCAACATGGATGGACCCAGAAATCATCATTCTAAGTGAAGTAAACCAGAAAGAGAAAGAAAAACACTGTATAATATCACTTGTATGTGGAATCTGAAAAAAAAAGGAAAAAAAAAGGGCACTATGAACTCATCTACAAAACAGAAACAGACTCGCCGACATAGTAAACAATCTTACGGTTACTGAGGAAAGGTGGTGGGAAGAGATAAATTTGGGAATTTGAAATTTACAAATGTTAGCCACTATATATAAAAATACATTTTAAAAAAGTTTCTGCTGTATAGCACAGGGAACTACGTTCAATATCTTGTAATAACCTTTAATGAAAAAGAATATGAAAATGAATATACATATGTATATGCAAGACTGGGACATTGTTCTGTACACCAGAAATTGACATATTGTAACCGACTTTAAAAAATTTCCCATTTTAGAGAAAACAGACAAAATAGGTTAATTAAATTGTCCCAGGTCACAGAGCCCTATGCAGAAGGGTTGTGATTTGAACTAAAGTAATCTGCCTCTTGAATCCCTGTTTAAACCACCACACTGTACTCCCCCTCTTTCACATGAAAAGTGAGGACAAATTTCTTGAACAAGATTAAAGAAGTGCAAACCATAATAGAAAAGGTTGTGAAAGGAAGCAAAATTTGCCACCCCAGAATATGTCTCTTCGGTATAAGGATTATTTTAAGCTATTTATTAAAAAAAGAGCAGATACAGGAAAAGTTCTAAAAACTGAGTAAAAGTTACACTTTTGTAAGAGACATTTACATTTATAAGCATAATCTCCATTAGTAAGGCTTTTTTCCTCTGTACCAGGGACAGAATGATGACTAAATCTCTGGAAACTCATCAGTGCAGAAGACCATGACATAAACCTGCATAACGACCTTATCCTGTTTACCGTGCTTTTCCTGACAGCCACCCCCTCCATAACTGACTCCTCCCCACAACATCTTTTGTCGTTGGCTGGAAATGGTACTTAAGGTGGTAGTTTGGGCCATTTGGGGGAGTTACACAGTTTTCCTGGACCTGTCTCACGTACACAGAAGGTAAACACTGTAAAACAAAGAATGTTGCCTGCCATCTAGTTCTACAAGAATCAAGCCACTGCATTTGCTGACTCTCAGTACACCCTGAAAGGAATTCAGGACAAAGATCTGGGTGAAGTATTCTGTGTTTTGGACATATGGGCCCCAAGATAGTTGAGATGTACATCTGAGGAAGAATTTCAATGGCCCCAGATTCCTGCATCTTCCCATACATAGATAAGCACTACAAGAATTAACTTGAGAAATCTGGGTTTTGTGTGTGTCTGTCTGTGTGAGATCAGCAGTAATCTTTCACCAAGATGTATGCTTGACTACCTGTATATCCCAGTCCCACCCCTCAAAAAAGTTATCTATATGGGCTTCTCTCCTACCTCTTCGAAGCAGTTCCTCAGAGCTGTCTAAGCGACTGACTTCCTGGCTATAGTCCCTGAAAAAAACTGAAACTCACTGCTCTTACATTGTGTGTGTGTGTTTTTTTCAGTTGACACCATACTATTCAACATCTATGAAATTTGTTTTTTTCCTATTAATTGTCTTTTATTATGGGGGGGGTGGTCCTCAGCTAAAAACCTATAAGGGTAGAGTGAAAATTAGTCTTCCTATCCTAGATTTGATACTTGGACTACATTAAATTTAAGCTCTTCTTTTCATCAAAAGACCACAAAGACAGTGAAAACACAAGCTACAAAAGTGAAAAGACATGTATCTTTTCTGACATATATCCCACTAAAGAGCTCCAATAATTAATGAGGCAAATAACACAGTTCAAAAATAAGCAAGTGACAGAAAATCATTTCACAAAAGAGGAAACCTGAATGGCTAATAAACATTTAAATACTTTCAAAGTTATTAGTTTTTAGGGAAATGTAAATTTTTAAATGACTTGGTCTTACTCATGAGATTGGATGAAATTAAATATCTGTCATTCCCAGGAGCTGGCTAAAACCTAAAACAAAAAGGTACTCTCATATTTGCTAGTAAGAGTATAAAATAACCACTTTGGAAAGCATTTTGGCAATAATTAGTAAAGTTGAAGCTCTTCAAAATTTGTGATCTAATAATTTCACTTCAGTATCTGCTCTCTGAGATACCTACTGCATTGTGTGTAAAAGTATTTAAAAATGGAAACATCAATTGTTAGAGCAAGCACATAGCTAGATATGAGCAGAGAAAGGGGAAACAGGCCAAATGGCAAGAATTGGGCAAAAAGGAGGGGCACAAGCCAAATGTAAGAAACCCTATATCGTGAAAACAATAGGGGCCCCCGGGCACAGAAAAAAAGCAGGAACCACTGGGCTGATAAGTGGTCATACATTTTGGAGTGACAAATGGCCAGGAGGCTGACAAAGGTTGGAGAAGGCAGAAATTTCCAGTGTTTGAATGTAAACTTTTGCTCATTATGCCCTCATTAAATAAAATTAGCCTTGCAGAGTAGAAGTACCCATGATGCACCAACACCATGATACTTCCAATCCAGATTAAACAAGGACAAAAATCCCTCTTCCCTTTGGGAAGGTGGAGTTGGGGTGAAAATCAGGGAATTTGACCCCAAACCCTTCCCTTCCCAATGAATGTTCTACTCGTTCATTTTTACACCCTATGTAGCCAACATGCCAAAGAAACTCAGGGCGGCTACTCACTTGAGCCTGCCTGCTCTTCCCTTGAGAGTGTACTGTCTATCCCTTAATAAATCCTCCCTTTACTTTAACCTCCACGTCCCATCTCTGAATTCTTTCTGCAATGGGGTAAGAACCTAGTCACCACAAGCAACACAATGATTATAAAAAATGGAAACATCCATGACTATCAAGAGAAAATTCGACAAATAACATTAGAATATTTCTACAGTGGAATACCATATAACAGTTAAAATGAATCAACAGGAATAGAGTTCAGAAACAATGAGTAAAAGAAGCAGGGTGCAGAAAGATCTGTACAGTGTTAAATTTTATATAAAAGTAAAAACATGCAGAGGAATACCACAGCTCATTCAGGAATACAAGCAGGATGGTGGTTACCTCTGAGGCAAAAAAGAGAAATGTGTTTGTTCAGGAAGAAACAGAATGGAGTTTCAAAGGTATCTGTGATACTTTGAGTTACTTGATTTATTATTTTCCATACTTTTTTGTGTAGGTATGAAATCTTGTATGACAACAAAAGCAAAAAGGAAATCTTGCCTTAACAATTTCTGCTTGAAAGGGCAGACTTCACTGCAATCTGACTTGGGAAGAATATCTCCAATCTGAGAAGGTCAGCTCCCTGAGGGATTCCTGTTTGATGACAGGTTTTCCAAGCTTAAAGGGCTTGAAACAAACTCTCATTCTCTGATAGTCTTATTTCAAAAATATGGCTAAGACAATATTTGACCCTGTGATGAAGGTACTGAATGAATAATTATATGTCAGTGTTAAGGTTATAGATATCAAATAGAGTTTAAGTC